GGGTCCTGGCAACTGAGACTTCTCCTAAACCACCCTGTTTACCATCAGTCATTAATCCACCCATTCTCCACAAATTCGTATAATTTCTTTTTGGGTCACAGTATTCTCTTGGCCTCTATAATATGCTATGTTAGTAAGTTCTGCAGTTCAATTTTGCACTGTGTGAAATAGCTTTCCCTCTGTTTTATTTCTATTACATTATTTCAGACAATGCCCTCCAAGCTTTTGTATTCTGACAAACATGAGTCAGCATTCTGTATTCTCCTGCAGTCATCTGTTTGAGCTGAAATATCATTGTTTAGTTCCTTTGCATGTGCAAACCATTCTGTATTTCTGATTGTTCCTGCTGTATTCGTGTGTTTTCTAGTTCTTCAGTGCCTTTTATGACAAGTCTGAAGTGGTTACAGCAATCAAGATGTGGGTGTATGAATTTATAAACTAGACTACAGACTATTTCTTTTGGGATAAAAATTGCTGTGTTAAAAATTGTTCAACTAGAAAATGGTGTAAGTGTGGTCTGTGTTAATTCTTAGAAAACACAATCTAGCCTGCCATTACATTATGCAATTCCAGCAGAGCAATGTTAATTATTGTTATTTAATTACAGTAAAGGTTGGGGGTTTCCTCACAAGCAGGAAATTAAAATTAGTACAAGGAAAGCCATGTTTTGGTTTCCTGTGCTGCAAAATTCTTACATGGTAGAATTATTAGTTCAATTTTTTATAAAAGTTTAGAAATAGCCGTTCTACAATGGGGAGGGGGAAAGGTGTCTTTGAATTCAAGAAATAACAAGAAGTAAAGTCTTTCTCTAAAACAAGAAATAGCAAGCAAGTGACCACAGTTAGCACTTGAGAAAATCTAGAAGATCAGGGCAGGAGTGAAGAAAAAGGTTTCAGCCTCCTAATGGCCTTTCTGAGAATCAGGATTTCTAAAAGTAAATAAGTTTGAAAAGGACAATACTCAATCTGATTATTTTATTAATTATAGTATCACAGATGCCCAATGAAAATCTCTTGTTTCCCAAAGAAAGAGCATCCATTCCACCTGTGATGCTGTTCCTACTGCCACTTTCAGCAGAGCATTCTACTGGTGTGGTGATCCACATGCCAGTGAGCAAGAAGGATTAGTCTCCATTCTTCTTAGCCACTAACTGAAAATCAGGTCATTAAACAAGAAAGGCAATATTTGTGATCAAACACTAAGCAAGAGAGCCCTACTAGCCTGGCAGGGATTTGCCAGGGATCTAAAAGGTAGAAGCCCCCAAAGAGAGTGCAGGGCAGTGCAATTCTGGTCTCTGGTAACCCTGGTACTGATCTGGCAGTGGGACTGTGGCTGCTGTGCAGAGATGCCAATAGCATCACTCAGGCTCTATGAGAGAGAGAAGATTGTGGAATGGGAAGATGAGGACAACTGAACAGTTTGATGATGCTCATCATATGGATGCTTGGAAAGGTTTGTATCATAAAAGATATAAGAGGGCTGAATCAACTATGATTTGAATGAATGTCATTTACTCATCATCTAATTCACCCTTATGAATGAATTTAATTAATTACTACTGAGGTTGCCTTTTATTTATGTTTATATTTACAGCTAAGTACATCTGCTTTAACATATTTTTAGAATACTATATTCTGTATTCTGGAGAAAAAATTTGCATGTTTGAGGATGAAAATAGCCAGCTGTTGTCACAGTGGGCTCTAGACATCCCAGTTGCATAGCTAAAATTATATGTTGTAGTAGTCACAGGATATATCTGGCAGAAAAGACAGACTAAGAAGCTTCAATGGACCACAGGTATAAAGGATAAGGCTCTCTCTCTCTGTCCCCTTAAACTGCATCCACCTTTTCCAGAACCTCCTATACCTTAATTCCAGGTCACCTTCCAGGATCTGGAGAACTTTTTCTCTGTTTATATACAGACCTCTGTCTTCACTCCCATCCAAGATGTAGGGAAGAGCCAGAGTGTGGGGAAAGTGAACGGGCCAGGATTGAGACCTGCCCTAAGGACAGGAGTAGAGAAAGAATAGAGTCAAGGGAAGAATCCAATTTCAGGGCTTTCTCCAATTGTCTTTGCTACCGCAAAGAGGAGTCTCATAATAGCTGACATCCCTTAAATATGAAAACTTTCTCTGTAAGACAAGATATGAAGCTCGTTCAGATCAGATCACCTGCCTCAAGCAAAGGCTACCTTAAGCCAACTCTTAACTACCAACAGACTTAACCTAGCTGAAAAATAATCATGTTTGAGTAACATTTCACATTTACTTATAAATGTAAATTTAAATGCTGGTTAAGAAGTCAGAAGAAATTTAAACCAGAATTAATTACTTGGTTTTATATTTGGAAATCAATGTTTTCAGGAAGGATGGAGGAAGGAAAGCATGTCATTTAAATATGTAATCTCAAGAAGTACTTCCTGGAATATGTAACTCCTGCAAAGGAATCAGACTATATTTATTTAAAATGTCTTCCATTAACTTCAAAAATGGAACAAACTAGAAAGTGCACAGGTCAAAATCCTTTTTTGAACTGAGTATTTGAAATATCAGTATAACTGCTGGCAGCTTAGTTTAATATTTCTTATAATTTTTGCAAGAGTAATTTCATCTGCTATACATTAATTTTAGATGGTAATTTTCTTTTTAACCTATTGACAATGTAAGTTTGAAGATTTAGGCTTCAGTCCCACCTTAGCCAAGTCTTTTCAAAATACCACTTCATTTTCTGAGTAATTTGAACCACTGATCATAAACCAGAGAAAGAACAACTCATAGCTTATCTGGGAAACATGACAATGAAGCCTCTCACAAATTATTCCAAGTGAATATTGCTAATGAAACTGTTATTTAGTTATTTAGTATTCTAATTAATATCTTAAAGTGTTTGACAAATAAGTTATAAAATACAGTATTTATTTCAAGAGCAAGACGATGATATCCATTGTAACATAAATTCAAGATTCAGTAAAAAGTTTAAGCATGGTGCTTAAACAATGACACCGGGTGCATCAAAGAAATGCATTGGTATCAACGGTTTGCATATAATTGACTTTTTCTTTGATGTATTTTAAGAATGAGGAATGGCAGTAATTCAGTCTCACTGCCACTGCGCTGGAATGTAACTTATTAATGAAACATTCTTAGGGATATTACTATGATTTTGTCTGATAACTGGGTGGTAACATGGTAAATATAGACTTTCAAATGCCTTCCATCAGAATTAATGGTTATTACAACTACAGACTGAAGGCAAAACAGACCCCGTGCTGTATGATTAGCTAGTGTAAGCCACATAAAAAATGCCTTAATTCAGGATAACCCCAACCCCAGTGAAAGCAAGAGATATATTATTCTTCACTTTAGCAGGTTTTGGTTTAATAGCATTAAATTATCAATAGAACTGTTTTCCGGAGAAAGCTTACCTTGTGGACAGTGGAGAACCTCTCCATCACAACTTCATAACCCTCAGCATCCTCCTTCCTTCCCACACCTACCTACTCCTTCCCTGCTGTTGCTGTATAAGCTGCTATCCCACCCAGCAAGACAACTCTGCAAGAGCAGGTAGATACTAGAACTGGAAGTTTACTTCACTTGCACTGTAGATTTCATTGCAGGGTCAGGGAAAAACACCACCTAAAAACCATTAGGCCCATTATTTTCAATTTCCATTTAAAGAGTACTTTTTATTTAAATTTTTACT